GTGATAGACATTGGGGAGGGTATGTGCTATGGTGAGCGCTGTGAATTGTGTAAGAGTGTTGAATCACAGACCTGTACCTCTGAAACAAGTAATACAGTATATGTTAAAAAAAAAAAAAAAGAAGATAGCAGGAAGGAAAAAATGAAGGCGCAGGAAATCGGAGGGGGAGAAGAACCATGAAAGACTATGGACTCAGAAACAAACTGAGGGTTCTAGAGGGGAGGAGGGTGGGGGGACTGGTTAGCCTGGTGATGGGTATTAAAGAGGGCACATTCTGCATGGAGCACTGGGTGTTATAAGCAAACAATGAATCATGGAACACTACATCAAAAACTAATGATGTAATGTATGGTGATTACCATAACATAATAAAAAAAAAAACAAAAAAAAAAAAGTTTTTGTTCTCTCCAATTTTCATTTTTCTTTCTCTACTGAAGGTCACAATGATCCTTCTTCTCATCTAGGGTGAATCAGTACAGGGGGAGAGTTCTGACATGTCACCTAAAGAAAAGGATCCTGCTCCAAAATAACTTCAGGTTGTCTGAAATGATACCAGTTACACATTCAAGTGCAATAGACAATCATTCTGAGGGGACTGGAGAGTTGCTAGTCATCGCTGGCTTAGGATGAAAGAAAATACACTGATTGTACTGCTCCTTAAAGTACACTAAACATGAAGAGGAACAGGTTTATCTTTCAACTTAAAGGTAAAGCAGGCTTGGCTGGAAGAGCTTAAGGAGGCTTACACAGCCAGAAGACAGTATAAGGCTTTTGCATGCTCCAGTAGGGGACAGAAAAAGTTAGAGAGACGAGGAGAAAATTCTGTCTAAAGCTTAGTTTGTGTATCCACGGCACAGGCCAGTGGGTAGTTCTCACCACAGCTAATGAGCCAGCTCCCTCTAACAGAAGGACTGCTTCCCAGGGTGGACCACATGGCATTTCATAGGGAGAAGAGCCATACTTGTAGTTTGGTGGAAACCATAACAATGTAACAGGGGGAAAAAACCAAACCAGCTCTCAAAGAGCTGGAGAAGTAGCAGTCATTTTAGTACACAAATGACGCTAGATAGGGGATACTTCTTAGAACCTAAGAATGTATACTACTATGTAAACAATTTGCATTATTTTCTCCCAGTGTCCTAATCAGTCTCAGATGCAAAGATTAAGACATTCCATTTATTGACAAGTCACTATTGCAACAGCTTCCTGTAGTGACTACTGTCTTAGTTATAATGATAATGACCCTCATTACCAGAATTCACAGTAAAGTCACCATTTGACAAGTACATTTCCCCCCAGTTAACAGGTCTTGAATCCGTCCAAAGGAAGTGAGAATAATTTTGTTAGAAATATTTTTTGCAGGGGCGCCTGGGTGGCTCAGTTGGTTAAGCGACTGCCTTCGGCTCAGGTCATGATCCTGGAGTCCCGGGATCGAGTCCCACATCGGGCTCCCTGCTCAGCGGGGAGTCTGCTTCTCCCTCTGACCCTCTTCCCTCTCGTGCTCTCTATCTCTCATTCTCTCTCTCTCAAATAAATAAATAAAATCTTAAAAAAAAAAAAAAGAAATATTTTTTGCAGTCCTCACATCCAGCATAACTTCAGAAGCACATATTTCAATAAATGTTTTCTTTCCTATTTTCAGTGTTTTCTATATCCTAAATCACCATTCAACTGTACAGAACTTGAAATTAAATCTAATCCTCTTTCAGAACTGTGGCTCATATTTCATCTCAAAAATATTTGTTTATGCAAAATTGAATAAGAAAAACAACTTGGAACCAAACCAGTTACTTTTAAAAAATGACTATTTCCTTCTTTTAAAAAAATTTCTAATTGTGGTAAAAAAAAAAAAAAAACCACACACTAACATAAAATTTACTATCTTAATCCTTTTTACGTGTGGAGTTCAGTAGTGTTGAACATACTCACATTGTTGTGCAACAGACTTGGAACCTTTTCATCTTGCAAAATTGAAACTGTACCCATTAAACAACTCCCATTCCTGCCTCTCCCCAGTCTCTGCTAACCACCATTCTACTTTGTTTCTATGAATTTGACTATTTTAGATACCTCTTCTAAGTGGAATCACACAGTATTTGTCTTCTGTGCCTGGCTTATTTCACCTAGCATAAAGTCCTTAAGGTCCATCCAAACTGCAGCACATGACAGGATTTCCTTCCTTTTCAAGGCTGAATATCCCACTGTACATGAGACCACATGGTGTTTATCCATTAATCCGCTGATGGGCATTTGGGTTCCTTCCATCTCTTAGCTATTGTGAAGAATGCTGCTATAAATACGGGTGTGCAAATATCTGAGACCCTGCTTTCAATTCTTCTGGGATATAAACCCAGAAGTGGGATTGCTAGATCATATGATACTTCTATTTTTAATTTTTTGAGGACCTGTGGTCCTGTTTTCCACACCGGAAATGCCACTACTAGCGCTCAAGGGAGAATTCTAATTTCTCCACATCCTCACCAACACTTGTTATTTTCTGTTTTTTGACATCCTAATGGGTGTGAGATGACATCTCATTGTGACTCTGATTTGTACTTCCCTAATGATACTGATATTGGGCATCTTTTCATATGTTTTTCAGCCATTTGTATATTATCTTTAGAGATTTTAACTACTTTTAAAGGCATACAGGCGACTTTTAAGTCACTATCCAAATTACAATTTCAATAAAAACTTATTTTTATAAAAGGATTCGAGAGAGACTATCTGAAGTTAGAATGCAAATAACACTCTCTATTAAATCTCTATCATACCTGAAACATAACCCATATAAACCCAGCCAACAAAGCAAGTGATTTCACTTCCACCTAGAAAGCAAACATTTGAACCATTACTAAAGATAAATTGATTTCATTGGCATGCTGAGTAGACTTGCAATCTATAACTTTAAAATTGTTTATGGATTTTTCTGACAAGCGTGCATCAGATAATGATAAGGACATTCTAGAAGTGCTACGATCATCACCCCTGAAAGACACTTAAACTGACAAGGGGTTATTTTTATCAATTGGGGCTTTTTTGTATTCAGTAACCTTCAGTTGGGAAGCATTCAGCCCATGCTCTCCTATACTATTTCTTCAGGGTGTTTTCTTTCACTGGCTCCTGCTTTCTGGTGCTCCGCTTATGTCCGTGTTTCTCCAAGCAGGACCCCTAGACCGCCTGCTTTGGCATGACCTGGGTCATGTAAAACGGCAGGGACTGGTTCAAAAGGCAGATTTCTGGCCTCTGCCCTGCCTTTCTCTTCTTCACGGCTCTTCTATGATGACACTGGACTCGTTCTACATTTCATTACTATCTGTGTCCCCTTGCTCGAATTCAAGCTCCTTAAGGGAGCTCTGGTTTTTTGTTGTTGTTGTTCACTGCTGTATTCCTAAGTGTCTAGAATATAATGCACAGATACTCAAATATTTACAGAATGTTGATGAACAAAACCATTTGTCAAGAGCATGTTAAAATCTGTCAAACTATATCATCTGATTTGGCACAAATTTATGGATTTATTCATTTTAAATTTTAATTATTATGATGTTCTGTCAAGGTCACTATGCTTCCCATCTGCCCTAATTTCTGAATGAGTCTGAAAACATGTCACAATAAGATACAGGTTTCATATCACTTCAGTCCCAAAATATGTCATGAATTTCCACTATCTACAGAAAAAGTCTACACTTCTCAGAGTGGGTCTGAGACCCTCCACCATCTTGTGCCAGCCTGCCTCTTTAGCCTCTTCTACAACACTCTCTCCTGCAGGCTCACTGACTTCTTGTATGTTTCTTGTCTATTCCACTGTTTACGCCTTCCTCTCAGTCAGGAATGCTATTTTACCCTGTTGTTTTGCCTAAATGCTACTCATTTTCCAAGCCACGGCTTAAAGGTCACCTCCACATAAAGCTTTCTCCCCAAATGGCAGAGCTGAATTTAACTGTCCTGTATGTTCCTCAAGTTTGCATACACCAAACATTTAGCACAGTGCTTTGTATACATTAATGATCTCTAAGAACTTTTTACTGAATTTCCGTAGGCTTAATTTTGAGGCAGGCTATAACTCACCAGTTGCAGAGTCTGGTTCAGAGTCATTAGCACTATCACCATCACTACCGTCCAAAAGAATCTTCCTCTGTTGTACCACAGCTTTTGATGCTGCTTTTCTTTTCCCTTGAGCACTGTGAAAATCATCTTCCTCGGTAATCTTATCCAAATCTTCAGAAGAGGCGTAAAAATCAACGGAAAACTTTTTGTGACAGGTAATATTGCAAGAACTGCAGAATAGACTTCTATCACATCTGTTGTTTTTATTTGCCCCGCTTCATCCCTTCACTGCTTCTGAGAGACCACGGAGTCCAACCTGGGTCAATCTCAGTACCTCAGTCTCCTGACAAGAGTCCAGTTTAAGGATAAGTGTGAGACTCAACTGAGGATTCCTTCCCCAAGAAACGGTAAAAACTGGAGCTGGGAAAGGGGCTGGGAAAGGGGCTGGGATGATGCAGCCCCTTTCTTCAGTGGTCAGCTGAAGTCAGGGGTCATGACCCTCCCCCAGGGAAGAAAAGAAAAATGGGTCTGCAGTAAAAGGTAAGAAAACTAAAACACAAAGAAAGAAAGGAGAAGCAGTGAAGGGAACCTTGACAAATTTAAATATCTTGGTTCTAGCTACCGTGTCATGTATTTAAATCAAAGTCAGAATAATAGCAATATTGACAGAAAAAGTAAATATTATTATTAATATCAAAACTTACCTAAATAATCACTGGCTACACTGCAATTGGAGATATGGGGAGCCTTATTCGTTGTTCCGGTTTCGCTGCTGCCACATTTTTCAGTGCCTAAAGACAAGGAAGAAGGAAAAAGATAGAGGCACCTTAATCAGCCAAGGGGCAGAAATAGGAAAATTGGTGCTCCAATGTAAAAGCAACCAGATACAGATGAATGATCCAAACTCAGAGCACAATGATTTACCTTGGAAAGGTTAGCATATGGTTAGGAGTTTGGGCTCTGAAATCACACAGACTTAGACTTCAGTTGAAATTCAGGCTCTATCACTTACATTGGCTATATGGCCACAGGAAAGTTGCTTATCCTCTCTAAGACTTAATGTCTTCATCTATAATCTGGAGATAAAAAACAGTGTGTGGAATAATTGGGTTTATTGTGGGGCATTAAATGTCGATCACATGTAGGAATTGCTTATTGTAGTGCCCAGCACATAGGAAACAGTCAATAAATATTAACTATCATTTCCATGTAGGCTGATACATGCTCTTACTAACAAAGCCTCTTCAATCATTATAATAACCTTAAAATGATTTAAAGTATTTCAGAGGACTTTAAGTCATGATAATTGGTACTATTAAATCCCATTGCTATAAAGGGCATTCATCTATGAGAAGTGGTACTTTCAAGGAAATCCTGCTATGTATTCTACCCTCTCTTACCGGAGAGAGATGAATTTCATTTTCTCAATTTTTGGATATAAAATAATTCTCTTTTTACATTTCTTTGATTTCCTGATTACTAAATGGCTCCCTAATCAACAGTGTCTCATTCATTTCCAAATAGGAGACAATACTGATTTAAACATCTATACCCCTAAATAAGCTAATAAGTTAAAAATATCCTCCAACACGGATGTTATGCTGAGTGAAATAAGTCAATCAGAGAAAGACATGTATCATATGACCTCACTGATATGAGGAATTCTTAATCTCAGGAAACAAAGTGAGTGTTGCTGGAGTGGTGGGGGGTGGGAGGGATGGGGTGGCTGGGTGATAGACATTGGGGAGGGTATGTGCTATGGTGAGCGCTGTGAATTGTGCAAGACTGTTGAATCACAGATCTGTACTTCTGAAACAAATAATGCAACATATGTTAAGAAAAAAGAAAAAGAAGAAGATAGCAGGAGGGGAAGAATGAAGGGGAGTAAGTCGGAGGGGGAGATGAACCATGAGAGACGATGGACTCTGAAAAACAAACAGGGTTCTAGAGGGGAGGAGGGTGGGGGGATGGGTTAGTCTGGTGATGGGTATTAAAGAGGGCACATTCTGCGTGGAGTACTGGGTGTTATGCACGAACAACGAATCATGGAACACTACATCAAGAACTAATGATGTGATGTATGGTGATTAACATAACAATAAAAAAATAAAAAAAAAAATATCCTCCAACACAAGTTAAGCCAAGACAATTTCATCCAAAAAGTATTTTAACAGTTTGAATATCTTTTCCAGGAATAACGATTTCTGCCTCCCCAGAATATCAATATTGCCATCTGCTGCACAGTTGCCAGAAAAATCGAAGGAGAAAAACCCAGAGAAATCCACAAGTCACACACCTCTTATGCCCGCTGAGCTTGCTAACCAAACTAGTATCTTTAACCTCTAAATAATAAAAACTACCACCACCAGGTCATGTTTAACGGATTTAAATTTTGAGAGAAAACAGGTGGATTGTTAGGATTGTTTAGACCAATTCATGATCAAGAAATTAAATTTCCACTGTAAACAAAAATGTAGCTTGAACATCCAAGCTCATAGTCCATGACCACAAGTTTACATTAAGTGTTTAGCAGAGATATGTGGGGGGGGGGCGGGGGGGCACGTAGATTTATGCAGCAGAATAAACAACCGAACCTAATTGTGCCCTCTGCAAACTGCTCCATTTGTTGTCCATAGTATTAAAATTTTACTCTTTCCTCTGTGAAGGCTTATCCAGAGAAATGATGACAAAAACACAAGGTTATAAAGATAAATATATGGAAAATAAAGTTACTTTTATCTTGAGCCTCTTCCACATCAATGGTGACTGTTGAAAGTTCCTTCACTGATAAAGCTAGTGCGACTTCTAAGTCTCGCTGGTAGAGCTTGTCATCTAAAGCCATCCTAAGGTGGACACACAAACAAAAATGAGTTTTTAAAAATACCAATCTCAACCAAGCAGCAAAATCTGTGATTTTCCTAAATTACTATTTAAGAGCTGCCAACTAACAAAAATGTTTTTAAACAGTAATAATGATCATAATTGACTTTACTGACAACACCGCTAATATGTAGTAATGTCATGTTACATCTAGCACAAGAAACTGAAAAGAAGAGCAGCAAGCACCATTGTTAAGTAGTGTTTCTTTTCTCTGCAATGTCAGTCCTTACTACCAACTCCAAACAGCTGTTCAACCTAGAATAAAGACATGGCTCAAAAACCCACTTAGAAATCTTCTTTGACCTCACTCACACCTCCCTAGACAAGTATTATAGCTCTTATATTAAACTGGTTTTTTAACATCTGTTCCTCCCAATCTCAACTTTAACAAATATGTCACCAAGTACTTACTGTGTATGAGGCACACACTAGATAGAGTACTAAAAGTACCCTCAAGGAATCTGCAATTAATGAGGACGGTAGGGAAATAAGACATACTAATAATTATACTATATACGCACATTATTATTATTATCATCATCTCCTATTCAAGGTGATCAAAAGTGCTATGGTAAGAAAAGAAATCAAAGATTTAAAAAAAAAAAAAAAAGGTTACATAAAGGACGAAATACTGAGATGCACCTCGAGGGATTTATTATTTTCTAAAAACAAGTTTTATTGAGATATAATTCACATAGCATAAAACTCATCCTTTTAAAGTGTACAATTCAGCAGTCTATAGTATATTCAGAGTTGAGAAACCATCACTGCTATCTAATTTCAGAATATTTTCATCACCCCAAAAAGAAACCCTATATCCATTAGCAGTCACTCCCTGCTTACCCCTCCCCAGCACCTGGCAACCACTAATCTACTTTCTGTTTCTATAGACTCACCTGTTCCAAACATTTCATATCAATGGAATCATACACGTGGACTTTTATGTCTGGCTTCTTTTGCTCAGCATGTTTTCAAGGTCCATCCATGTTGTAGCATATATCAGGACTTCTTTTTATTGCTGAATGATATTCCAGTGTATGGACAGACCATATTTTATTTATCCATTCACCAGTTGGTAGACATTTGGATTGCTTCCATTTTTTGGCTATTATGAATAATGCTATGAACCTTCATGTCCAAGTTTTTGTGTGGGTATATGTTTTCATTTCTCCCGGGTATATACCTAGGCTGGGTTATAAAATAACTCTGTGTTTAACATTTGGAGGAACTGCTAACTCTGCTTTCCAAGTGGCTGCACCATTTTATATCCCCAGCAACAATGTGTCAGAGTTCCAATTGCTCCACATCCTCTTTAACACTGGCTGTTGTCTGTCTTTTTGATTATGGCCATCCCAGCGGGTATGGGTGTGAAGTACCATCTCAACACAGTTTTGATTTGCACTTCCCTGATGGCTAAGAATGTCAAGCATCTTTTATGTGCTTATTAGCCAATTGTAGATCTTCTTTGGAGAAATGTCTACTCAAATCCTTTGCCCATTTTGTAAACTGGGTTATTAGTCTTTTATTGTTGAGTTGTAAGAGTTCTTGATATATTCTGAATACAAATCCCTCATCAATTATATGATTGGGAAATATTCTCTCCCATTTGTAGGTTATTTTTTCACTGTATTTAAAATGTAGTACAAGGAGCTCGAAAAAAAAACGAAAAAAGAGAAAAAAGTAAAGAGCAGGACATGGGGTAAATTTCTCTATGTTAATGAACTTTTCTCATACTCGCAGCAGTGAACCGTATCATACCCCACGTTCCATTTGTTAATACTCCCCTTCTGCCCATCTCCTCTCCATACTACAGGTTTGAGGCCTCTCGGGACTTCCTTCTCTCATTCTCTCTTCTCTCTTGGTACTAACTAATGGAAATCCTATAGTCTACAAACTATAGGACCTTCTCATTGCTGGACAAGTCTCAACAATATAAAGAGAAGATATCTTTTATCTACCGAAAAATACCTGGTTTTAATTTTTATAAGATTATCCTTACAAATGTAATTTTTAACAAAGTAGTCTTAGAAGACTTGAGGACTTTAGAGACAGGTACAGAGTCCTATCAAAGTAAGCGGTAACTCCTAAACTTTGTAATTATGATTATCTTAATACTTAAATGAGTATTTCCTTATGTGTTTGTGAATTTCTTTTTTAAGGCAGAAAGTCAGAAGGGGATTAATGGTACATCCCTGTTCTCTTACACCCACTAAATAAAATAATACCTAGGACTCTGCTCAAGTAATAATTTAAACCAGGAGTTCAAATCTGTCCCTCTCTTAAATTAACACATCTAATGTATATTTACTATATGTCGTACCTCTCACCTTTTTTTAGGGGTTTTCTCTTGTAGTGAGATATCTTCTTCCTGGAGATTCTTCAGTTTAGGTTTCCTTGTTTCCAGTTTTAAGTCCTTTGGTGTTGTTCTGGGTTTCTTATTTAAAGGTGCAGTTGCAGAAACAAAGTCATCTATGTGTGAAGCAAAAATAAAAGAATCTATGACATTGCTTTTCCTAAGTAAGAAATAAAAACATTTTCTGAGCAGTTGAAATTCATTACAGTGTGTGTTCAAGTTTTAAACATTAAGAAAATTGTTTAACTGCCACAACGTAAAAAATGGGGTTGGCATATTATTTTATCTTTATTCTCACTCATGCTTTTCAACTTTGTCGTAGTGGCCATTATTTATGAAATTATCAGTCTAGCAAAAACTGATACAGTTCTGGTGACACTCAACATAAAACTGCTGCTATAGGGACACCCGGGTGGCTCAGCTGGTTAAGCAACTGCCTTCGGCTCAGGTCATGATCCTGGAGTCCCTGGATCAAGTCCTGCATCGGGCTCCCTGCTCAGCAAGGAGCCTGCTTCTCCCTCTAACCCTCCCTCCTCTCATGTACTCTCTCTCGCTCTCTCAAATAAATAAATAAATCTTTGGGGAAAAAAAAAACTGCAGCTATAGCTTTTATACTCATGTGTGACACACGCGTGCATAACTTCCAGGCACGTGTAGTCTTAATTGCAGCATTAGTATTAATACATGTTGTCTCTTTCAAGATTCCCAGAGTAGGAATATGATAAGTTGTGGCTTGTCCCCCCACCTCCACTCCATGATGTCTAGAACACAACTGGCAATTTATAAAAATCTACTGACCTACTGGTAACATCATAAAAAGCTACAAGTTAGAGTCTCTACAATTTTCTCCCAAGTTTTAGACACACTTATGGTTGAGCCCAATGCAAAAAACAGGTTCCTTCAAACCTCAGGATTACGAAACATTTGACTCACAGAAAGCTCTGGTGGTCTGAGAAATACAGAACCTACTTCGAAGTATAACATAATCTCACTAAATGTTTCTCACACTTTCTGACCAAAATTCCCTTAATAGCAGAGACAAAAAAATACATAACCCAATAGGGTATAGCTTACTCCTAGCCTTTCTTCGAGGTCTTTTTTTTCTTCCAAGTTTTTATTTAAATTCCTGTTAGTTAACATACAGTGGTGTTTATTAGAATTTAGTGATTCAACACTTATAATCAACACCCAGCATGCATCACAAGTGGTGCCCTCCTTAATCCCCATCACCTATTTCCCCCGCACACACACCCCCGCCCCCGCCACTCAGCCCCACTCTGGTAACCATCAGTTTGTTCTCTATAGTTAAGAGTCTATTTCTTGGGCAGCCTGGGTGGCTCAGTCGTTAAGCGTCTGCCTTTGGCTCAGGTCATGATCCCAAGGTCCTGGGATCGAGCCCCGCATCAGGCTCCCTGCTCTGCAGGAAGCCTGCTTCTCCCTCTCCCACTCCCTCTGCTTTTGTACCCTCTCTCACTGGTCTCTTTCTGTCAAATAAATAAAATTAAAAAAAAAAAAAAAGAGTCTATTTCTTGGTTTGCCTCTCTTCCCCCCACCATGTTCATTTGTTTTGTTTTTAAAATTCCACATGAGTGAGACCATATGGTATTTCTTTCTCTGATGTATTTCACTTAGCATAATACACTCTAGCTCTATCCATGTCATTGCAAATGTAAGATTTCATTCTTCTTTATGGCTGAGTAATATATGATCCAGCAATTGCCCTAGTAGGTATTTACCCAAAGGATACAAAAACACTAATTTGAAGGGATACACACACCCTGATGTTTATACCAGCATTATTTACAACAGCCAAATTATGGAAAAAGCCTGAATGTCCACTGACCGATGAATGGATAAAGAATATGTGGTATATAAAATCTTGTTTTATTGTACAATTAATGGAGATTTCACATTATATTCTGTAACACATTTGTGTTTCAAAAGACAATGTGTTTCTTCTTAAGGAAAGGGATAGGAGGAGACAAATCCCACTATGAGAAACATGAACCTAGAATAGTTTAGATCTAAAGAGCCATTTCACCTGGCCCTGTTCATTTATCACTTACCCACATAATTCTTATCAGTGTAATTATCAGCATAATCATCCCAAATGCTTAGAAGATCATTTTTGCAGCCCTAGCTCATATACAATTGTGCAATATGTTCAATGTTAGAGTTCTATATGTCATATAAATTCTGAGAAAATAAATTTCCAAATTTTTAAAGCAAAAATATGAATCTCCACTCACCATCGCTGTCAGAATTCTCAAACTGTGAATAATTGACTGGTTTCTTATGCCTATGACCAAGAGAGAAATTTTTTAATTACACAAATACCAATTTCCCACCTCCAATCCTTAAGACCATTAACAGTCTTGAGTAAAGGAAAATGTGTTTCGATTCTCTTAAGAATACTTAAACTTGAAACACGAGCTGGATTTTACATTTGGAACTTAGCATTAGCTGAAATAATTACAACTATACTTGATATACCTGATAAGGAAAAAATGAGTTCAAAGTAAAAATAATCAATATCATTAACATAATTTACATACTGTGTAATTGCTGTGAGGTACTTATAAGTTCCTGTTATACGTATTCTTTTGTTTTATGTGCGCATTCTGTGTTATTAGATTAAAAACTTTGACACTGAAAGCTATTTTCTCTCTTTTTTTAATCTTCCCACAATACCAAATAATGTTCTTTATGCACTGGACAGCAAAACAATGGTGAGTGACTTTGTACCTGCCACCTGAAACAAATCTTTTACTACTTTAGAGAGCCATTAGAAGAAAGTGATAGTCAAAGTGGAAAAAATAAACTCACTTTCTTCCCCCTTCCTCTAGGCACTAAATGAAATGGCATTGTGGTTTTCTTTTCTACCTTTTGCCAAATACCCAAGTGTGAATAACCTAGTAGGCCAGTTGTTCTTTCAAGTAAAATGGTGTTCTATGGAAAAGAAGTCAGTTCAGTCCCAACTCAATCTCATAAGCGCTTTCCCTGAAGACAAACACCGTAGAAGTAGTTTATGTGTATATATGTAACTCTTATTACTCTCCTAATCTTTGGAGTTAAAGAATTTGAAAGCTGAATAAAATACGAAAACCCCTTTAGAAACTCTGAAGACTGAATAATAGTAAAATATAATAAAACCTCTTAAAAAAGGAAGTATGCTCAACAGTTGAGCTATAACGAATATGAGAATTCTTACTGCTTCATCAAACATTCTTAAGTGAAACTAGCATTTTCTTTTGTACTCCGAGTGTGCAGCAGTAAAGAATACAAAGATACTCGTGCAGTTTGGTGCCACTGCCTTGATTTGTGCTGAGGTTCCAACAGTTATGCCACCATTGCAGTGCAGATGACAGAACAATGAATAAAGCGAGCAATGTCTCAGGATTACTATGAAAATAGTTTTGGCCTCATGGACCTCCTTAGAAGGTTTCAGGAACCCTAGGGGTCTCTGTAGATGGTACTTTGACAACTGCTATTCCAGACAAGGGGATTATGTCTTTGCTACTTGGGTGTTTAAAATCCATTTCAGACTTCATGTGCTCAAAATGGAACTTCTGATCCCCCACACCTCCTGAACCTGTTCCCTTTCCTAGTCTTCCCCACCTTGGTTAGTACAAAGATCATCCATTCAAGTAGCTCAGGCCAGAAATACTCTGAAATCATCCTTGATTCTTCTTTCCCCACCTCTACATCCACTTCATCAGCAAATTCTGTCAGCAGTATCTCCAAAATATATCCCAAATTCATCTGTCCCATTCCATGTCCACTGGTAACACCCTACTCCAAACCACTATCCAATGATATAGCGGTTTCCCTCTTCCCATTCTGGTCACCCCATCTTCCATTCTTTCTCCACCAGAAGCCAGTGAACTTTATAAAACCAAAATTAGATTTTCTTGCTCTACTTAAAACTCTCCATTGGCTTCCCGTAGAATAAAATTCAAACTCCTTTTTGAAGCCTACAAGGTCCTACCTACTCTGGCCCCTGCCTATTTCTCTGACCTAATCCCCTACAATTCTCCCCACTGCTTGCTAATGCTACAGCTTTAGTGGCCTTCTTTCTGCTCCTCAAACATAGTCAAGCTCAGGGCCTTGGCTCTTGTCCCCCTCTACCTGGATTGTCCCAGATTTTCACTGGCTAGCTCCTTCTCATCATTCATATCTCTGATCATGTATTATCTCTGCAAGAGAGGCACATCCTAACTACACTATTTAAAATAAGATTTTCCTCCTTCTCACTCCCCATCACTTCGCAGTATTTATTTGTGGCCCCCCTAACCTTACCCCTTGACTAGAATGTAACCTCCCACAATTAGTACAGTATACAAGTAACTTTCTAAATGAATGGCTGACTCTAGGCCTCCACCATAGCACTCCACTGTGGTTAAGTAGGGGAACAGTTTCAAAGAGTATAATGGAAAGCACAGAGGATCTGGAGCCAGATGATTTAGGTTTGAGTGTTATCCTGCCACTCACTAGCTATGTGACTCACCTAAATTGGCCTAGGAGTTTAAATCGATAAAAACAGGGACACCTAAACTGTTATATCAAAGACCTGCAGTGCTGAAAAAACGAAATAACACGTAAGTAGGAGCTCAGTGAAATGTAAAGCGCTCTTCGAACGCTAACACAACCAGGGCTTCTTTGAATGGGGTGGGTAAAAGAATCCGCAAGTGCTGCGAAGGGGGGCAAAGAGAAGGGAAAAGCTAGCATGCTAGGATACGTCTGCGGATTGGGTGACTCTCAGCGGAGACTGGAGAGCTTCCCAGAAACCGTCCATCCCACCCCACCTTCGCTACCCTCCGTCCTATTTGGCCCTTTCCCCTCAATCGTGTATAGACGAAGTTGCCTACAGCGTCTTCCTGCCTTTTCTCCCCATCCCCGCCGCTGTCGCGAACTACTCACCTCACAGGCCGCACCATGGCCTCCTCCAATGCAGAAAATTCGCAGCTTGAGAGCTCTTTTTGGCCGCAGCGTCGGTTTCAATTCCCGCCCAAAACCAGACACAAGCGCTCTCCGCCCCCTGCCACCAGCCCTCCAATGATTACCAGCCATCCTTGCAACTGCGCATGCGCTCTGAGAAGACCTGAGGGCTCACGCCGTTCCCAAGGCATTGCCCTTCCGCATCCGGTGTACCAAAGCTGAGTTTGTGCTTTGCCTTTGCACTTTCGCCACGACAGTGGATTCCTTTTTTTTTGCGCCTTCTCTGAAACTCACAGTAACAGTAGAAATACACCTAATTACATTTTTAAATGACTAAATTGAGGCAGGATGGAAAAACGGCGCACTTAGACGGAGGAATTTTCTATAGAGTGCCGGGAAAGAGGAAAAAATATGGGCGAATCTGCTGAAGCGGATCTGTTAGATGTAAAAACAAGTGGGTAAGTCAGCTGATGTTCCCTGTGCCCCAGCTCATTGACAGCTCGGAGTGTGCGGTCAGCTCAGGACTTCGGAACTAGGGAAGGTGAGCCCAGAACCACGAGCGAGGAATCCCCTTGAGACTGAAACCGCCTAATGGAGCTGGTGTTCTCACTCGGCTGGAGCTTCTCGCGCCGGCAGCCTGCCCTCCCTTTCCTGCACCCAGAACCTGCGCTCTGTTGGCGGCAGGAGTTCGGTCCAGCCCTCCTCCTCCCATCCCAATTTTGCCTGGGAAACCTTCCTTAATTTCACCCCTGCAAAAAAAAATTAAAGTGGGACTAAAGGGAACTAAAGAAGGGAACTAAAGTTTCAGTTTGTTGAGACATAATAAGTTTAAATGTTGAGCCGTTTGAAACCGGAGCTAATGGTTTTTGTTGACCGAAAATATTGAATCTAAACAAGATTAGATCATAACCCATTTATCCGTAACTTCAGTTCCCTTTTACAGTGTTCCCGTACTGCCTTTGTCTTCATCATGTATACTCATTCAGCAACCTGTGATTTTTTTATTATGTCCTTAGAGAACTTTTATTATTATTACTGGCCTTCATCTATTGATCATCTTGTTTGTCAGATGCTTCGTATTTATTATTCGACTAATCCTTATGATAATCTTACAAATTAAAAGATTCTCCGGTGCTCATCTAAGCTGGAACCTGAAGAATGAGTAGCTGTTATCCAAGGAAACAAAAGCAGTAAGAGTGCTCTAGGCAAAGAAAAAGCATTCAAAATGGTTGGAAGTGGAAAGAGAGGTTTGGTGTTGAAAAGAGCTCAGTACGATTGGAAAATGGTTTGTGAATTTGTGTGTTGCGGATGAGGGGATGCAGGTGCTGGGGGAAAGAGGTCTGGAAATATAAACATTGTATACTGGGTAAAGGAGTTTGAATTTTATCCTGAGAACAATGGAATATGATCAAAAGTTTTTAAGCAGATGAGCAACATGACCAGATAGGCACTTTGGAAAGATTACTATAACTTCAGTGTAGAGAATACTAGGAAAACTCTTTTGATGGTGAAAAGTGTAGAGATGGAGTTTAGCAAGGAAGCTGATAAATATCCTCAATTGATATTGATTCTTACTCTTTGTGCCAGATTTTCTTCTTTTTGAAAAGTGTCCAATTTACCTTTTTTTGTATGTCTTTTTCCCACATGGAAATCTTAACAACACCATCTTTCTTCCATCCATGCCCAATAAGATCTCATAACATCGAAGATCTTCAAGATCACTTCTTGGTCCCTGATCTGTTTCTTTGACTTTGTATTCACCAGTTGTTTCATAACTCTGTATCTGTCTACCCATTCATCTCTCCCTAAAAATCTTCTCTGCTCTTCTCTCCATGTTCTCTCTCTATTCTTGAGAACGCTGCCTAGGAGTGCAAAATACTTTATGGGCACAATGTTTTTTTTTTTCCCTAAGTGAAGTTTAAAAGGAACTTTTTTCATTAAAAAAAAGAAGCACTTCATTTCCTTCATGAAGGTGAAAATGCGGGGATAAAGGTAGGAAAACCTAGAATAATTAGCTTTGAGTCACACAAACAAAATCACTGAGTGGTGGAACATTTTCTTAGAAGTGGTACAACAATAAGGAAACATTATGATTTTTATGGACTTATGATCTGCTGGGCTTTTGTTTGTTTGTTTGTTTATAGAAATCCTGCCAAAGAAGATGAAGAAAAGCAGAGAAAGATTCTGCAGAGAGAGGGAATTTGTATATGAATTCAAAGTAGGAAGTCAGTGCTTAGAACTGAGGGTGCCCCTCAAATTTCCTATTCAAGAGAATGCCAGTCATTTACATGGGCGTCTGATGCTGCTGCACAGTTTACCGTGCTTTATAGAAAAAGGTGAGAACTGATTTTTTAAAGGTTTATTTGTTTATTTTAGAGAGAGAGAGAGTGAGCACGTGGGGGTGGGGGAGGGGCAGAGGGAGAGAATCTTCAAGCTAACTGCCCGCTGAGCACAGAGCCCAACATGGGGCTCCATCTCATGACCCATGAGATCATGACCTGAGCCAAAACCAAGAGTTGGACACTTAACCGACTTAGCCACCCAGGCACTCCAAGGACTGATTTTTTTTTTTTTTGAAAGATTTATTTATTTGAGAGAGAGAGCACGTGCATGTGTGTGCAAGCGGAGGGAGGGGTAGAGGGAGAGAATCTTCAGGCAGACTCCCCACTGAGTGTGGAGCCCAACACTGGGCTCAGTCTCATGACCCATGAGATCATGACCTGAGCCAAAATCAAGAGTCAGACACTTAACCAGCGAGCCACTGAGGCATCCTGAGGACTGATTTTTTTTAATACTTTATTATTAATTACACTTTATTATTTTCTGACAGTCTCTTTCCTTAGACATTTCATATTAGAAAGCTTAAGCCTGAGAAGCTTGAAACAGCCATAAAATATGAAGTGTTTAACTGCTTCCTAGAATAAAAAGGTTCCCCGGGCCTTTGTTATTGAGTGTTTTTTTTCCTATAACCCTTGTAGTTGTTTATTGGGCAATTTAGTATAAAAATTAATTTGCAGGGGTGCCTGGGTGACTCAGTTGGCTAAGCATCTGACTCTTGATCTCAGCTCAGATCTTGATCTCAGGGCTGTGAGTTCAAGCCCTACATTTAAAAAGATTAAAAAATAAATAAATGAAAATCAATTTATATAATGAAAAAGTAGTTATAAGGTTTGGGTTAGAATGCTTACTCTCTTAATTTAGTTGGGTGGATACATTTCAGCTATCACTAATTATGATATTATAAAATTGTAGTGCTAAATGCATTGCCCTTTTAATGATCTGGTCCTCAATTCCTGAGATGTCATGGAAGGGAAGGAATACTAATCTTTGAATAATTTTTGCTTACCTAAATTAATTCATAAGGTCATCTGTATTAAATCATTTTTAAAAGGTCTCTGTGTTCTCTATGTCACAAATGAGAAAAACATTTTAAGCTGAGACTATGTCAAATCATAGAGTTAAAGGGAATCTAGGAACTTTTTAACACGATCTCATTGTACAAACAAGGAAACTAGTACATTGAAAAGGTAAATTGTTTTCCTAAGGCAGTGGTTCCCATAGGTTGTTCCTTGATCAGAAGCTACAGCATCACTTGGAACCTTGTTAGAAATGCACATTCTTGGGCCTCGCCCCATTCTTTCAGAATCAAACACTCTGGGGGTGGCATGTAGCAGTCTATTTCAGTAAGCCCTCCAGGGATTTCTGATGCATGCTAAAAATTGAGAACCACTGGTCTAAAGCTACAAACATAGTGACAGAGCCAAAACCAGAACACAAGTATCCTGATTTCTATCCCTGTGCTTTTTCCATTATATCATCTCTAAGTAGTGTCTCTAAAACTGGGATTATAGATCATCCCAATTAAATCCACTTTAATACGCTAATCATTCAATTTCTCTTTCAAATTCAAAGACTGTAACTCTATATATAGGAAGCTTCTTCATTTAAGTACAGTAACCTTCAGAACCTCAAAATCTGTAGGTTTTTCTTCATGTGCTTTTACCTGCTCAGTTTCAAACTGAAGAATCAGACTTAAGAAAGTAATGTTTTAAATTGCTATCAAGGTTATACATAAGAATTTTGACCATTTTCAATGCAATAACCTGTAATAGTAAAGAAAAATAATTGTGAAACTAGTCAAAAGATCCCCAACCTGATTTTATTGTATTTAGACATTCTATTAAGTATACAAGCTTGATAAAATAAAATTTCACATTGGAATGCTTATCCAGGTAAAATGTTCCCTGTTTACGTCAGGAATTTGCTGATGTTGGCATTTCTTATCCCTTTTACAGACTTAAAAGAAGCTCTGAGCCAGTTTATAGAAGAAGAATCCCTCAGAGATTATGACAGAGATGCCGAAGCATCCCTGGAAGCTGTGAAATCAGGTGAAGTAGATTTACATCAGCTGGCCGGTTCATGGGCCAAAGCTTATGCTGAGGTAAGAAAATAGATCAGATTGTAAATTTCAGGGATATTTTGGACTTTGATGAAGCTTTTAAATTGCTAAAGTAATACTGAAACAGTTGTGGAATCCTTTTTTCTCTACATACAAGATTTTATTCCATAATATATAATCTATATTGATGTTCCTGTAACTCCTTCCTATATGAGGGTGAGCAGCAAATACTTTACATAATATCTTTGTAAAAGAGAAGCTACTTTCGTATTTCTAACCAGCACAGGGTTGGCAGATTTGGCAATTAAAAATACAGGGCACCCAAATCTCAAAGAATGAATAATTTTTTAGTATAAGTATATCCCACATATTATATGGAACATATCTGAAATTCTCACTTAACTGGGTGACCTGTATTTTACCTGGCAACCTTAAACTAGCAGTAGTAGTTCATTTTAGGCTTTTACTTTTGTCCTGTCACTTATCCTCACTGTTGTTGTTGCCTTTTTTGAGTCGTTTTGTTTTAGAGAGAGTGAGCGAGCGTGAGTTGGGGGCAGCGGGGCAGAGGGGGAGAGAGAATCTTAAGCAGGCTGCCTGCTT